TTGCGAAGAAGATCTTGCGGACTGCGGTTCGAAAACAGATGCTGGAAGGAAACCACCTGAATTAGATTTTAACTAAAAATATCCAAAAGTTTTAAGTAGCATCGATGAGATCCCTGTAATATCCAAGAGGTTTCAATATTGCCAAGGAGATTTCATTAACATCTGGACGTTTTCACTAACATCCAAGAGCAACGTGTTGGGCACTCAATACGTCCTAACAATGAGATCAGGTCTGCATAATTTCAGCTATTTTACATTCTTAATATTGTCAGACTAAAACAAGTTGTATGCGGAATACACTTGTGGATGATTCCTCTCAAATTACACTGGCTTATCATTTTTGTGAATTGATATGCTGCTTTGGATATTATACGTTCGTCCAGCCCGTTCTTTGTTCGATAATCCCAGCGGCATTCTGGGTTTTGCTAAGTGTAGAATGCAACAGCTGACCGGATGACCCGGACTCGGTGCTGAGGCCTGTTCGGCTTGAGTTCGATGGTGAAACATATGTCGTTGGGTGTAGCTGGACAGATCGCTTTTCATCCAGAGCTAAAGGTCTACCGCCTGGCGTTCTGCCAGCCCGGCAATAGAAACTGGAAATGTCACTCTAACTTTTCCTCAGCTGTTCGTCCCACTCCATAAATCATCATTTTCCAGTCAAAGGAGTACGAAGGACAAGAGCAGGAGAGAGAGGGGACATGAGAAACGAGGAAATAATTGAAGACTAGCCGTAACGGAGCCTTAGCCGAATAGATCACCCTCATCATCTTGCAGTAACGTCTTTTTTGCCTCTTAAATTCTTTGTTTTCAGTAAAACAAAAGAAATCTGTGGAGGGCCTTTTAACTGTTGTGCACTTTCCAAGGATAAACTCGAAAATTTTCAGAGTGGATTCTACTGAAGAACTCAACTGAATGCTTGGAAAAAAGCGTTGTCAATGAGTTTGAGAGAAAACTGAAAATTTTCAAACATCTACCCAGCGTTACTGCGAGTGAGCAAACAAATTTTATAAAATTTGGATCTTTCCAAACTCAAATCCATTAAAAATCAAGAGAACTAAGAGAAAAACTACTTCTTACCAAGGATTTTAACTTGGAAGAAGTTGACAGCTACTCCTCTTGCGACTATAAGCAAAAATATGATAAACCACAAGAATATGAATCGCAAAATGTTCCGCAAAC